TGAATAAGACCTTTGCACGTGGAGCTGTAAGCACTCTCTTGCTTTCATGTTTACCTCTTCAATATGCCAAAGTCAGATGGGGTGAAAGAATATCCCAGACAGAAGAGAAGGATCTCGCTGTGAAGTTAGGTAACACCGAGAAAGCCGCTGAGAGGGTCTGAGTGAGAAGCAAAGGGAAGGAGGAGATACATGAACTTGCACCAGCCATCCTTCGGTTTAGGGTTGGTTTATTATTTTGTTACAATTTCAGTATGTGAAAAGCTGCTGGTGACCCAGGGTTGACAGATGTAAATATTGCTAGCACAAAACAAAAGAAAATTAAAGAGGGGAAAATGAACCCAAGCGGTGACAGTGAATTCTTTGTCAGTTGTTTGCAAATTTTTTTATGTGCTGTGACTTGGTCTCTCTTTCTGGCTCCGTCTAGGTGACCCTTGTTGAGACCTTTGTCATCTTAAACTATATGTGAAGGACAGGGTCCTTTTACTCATACAGGCACTTTCTCATATTCAGATATACCCAGAGAGACATGAAGTACCTTATTACGGTGCTGATCTTTCTATGCAGCCTCCGTAATCCGTAGAAGAAAGATGCTGGTCAAGTTGGGCTGCATGAAGACCCAGTGCATCCCATGTTGATGCAGGCTCTAGGTTAGGTCAGATTACGTTAGTGAATTGGTGTGGATGCCCTTTAAGGCTTTTACTCAGTCTTTTGTAAACTTTGTGCAATCAGATACTTAAAGACACCTGAGTATAGTGTAAATTTAATCCATGGAACTATTATTACATGAAGCCAGAAGTATTGTCGCAGAGGGAACTGTAGCAGGATCTAAAAGCAATGGGCAAGCTCCAAGATAAACATCAATGCTACAAATATTTAAAGACCCAAGCAGAAAACAGAGTGGAAGCCAAATCTGAAAAGAAATAATCTTAAAACGCTACAGTGCTGTATCATCTGTCTGTCATTAAAATCCAGCGTTTTCCTTTTTCTTGTGTAGTCTTCACTGAATGGTCACCATGGCTTTGCGGGGTGCAGGCAGTGGAAGAAGCGGGAGTCGGGGGGGGGCAGCACCCAGACCCCGAAACCTGTGCTGCGATTAGTGCTGGAGTTGCTCCTGCAAGCTGGCGTCCGCGGTTTTCACCTGCTGACTACTTACCTCTCTAGTTCAGTGGAGAATTTGCACAAGTGATTAAGTCTATCCCCAATCAGCAATGCCTAGGGCTTAGGTTGACTTCCATTTCATTAGGACTTAAGCTTGTCTGTAAATTTTAACACATTAATTGCTTAATCGGGCCTAATTTATCTCCTGTTTGAGCCAAAGGGACCCATCCTTTCTCTGTGGGTGGAATCGGATCAGGACCATGAAGCAGGTACACATTTGAGCAGTGATGGTGTGATTTGCTTACAAAAAGCATGTGAGGTATGCAAAACGTGAACCATGTAAAAGGAATTGGCCATCTCAGCCTTGATCCCAAGAAACTGATAGCTGCCTTTTAAAGCCAGCCGCTGAAGCGGCTGCCAGTTGGCAGCAGGAGGTGGGGAATGTGTTTAAGCCGCGTAGGAGCTCTGCGTGCTATTGTGGGCTCTGTGTCAGGCTACGGCTCTGGTTTTAGATGAAACGTCTGGCGAGCAGAGGGTGTTCAGCCTCGGCAGCAATCTGTTCAGCGGGAAATGGTCTTAGATGGAGAGCTGGCGGCCGCCCCCCCGAAACACTGTATTGTGGGGAGCAACGGCTCGGGGAGTGTCCATCTGGCAGAGCTGCAGCAGCGTTGTCTCCAGGGCTGCCCTGGATATCGCTGGGTACAGCTTCGGTTGCCCATCAAGGACCAAAGGGATGCCCAGAGAGGCCCTAGATATTAGATGTAAACATTTCCATCCTGAGCCATCTCATAGAAAAGAGCTGCAGGAGTGAGGGAGGGGAAGAGACATCATGAAGAGATGCAGAGGCAAGAGGGGATTTCGCGTGACCCTGAATGGGTGACGAAGGATGACACAGAAACGGAGCCAGGGAGTGAGATGTGGCCACTTGTTCATTGACAAGCATCTGCCAGTAACCACAATGATGTGTTACCAGCCTGTGATCAGGACTCCTATTGTGGGAGCTGCTATTTTGAGCTCCTGGTAGCTGTCAGGAGCAATAGATGAACCTCACAGCCCAGTACTTCCCTTCTTTATCTCCATGTCCCAGCAGAGCAGCTCTGGGAGCAGAGACCAGGGGACCGTGCCCTCTCGTGTCTCAGGGGTACTTCCGTCACACTCTGATGCTCCTGTTCCTTTCATTTGATTTATCCTTCTGCCCCATTACGAAGCTGATTTCCAAAACAATTCAAAGTAGTGCCTGCTCCATTTGAGCTACTAATCTCATGTTTTACCTCTGTGAATTCAAGGCTGGCGTGCAGTCCCGGGGGCAGAGGTGGTGGGATCCAGGCTCTCCTCTTTAATCTTCACTTTCTGAGATTATTTCCAAAATCCTGCTCCTCGGGGTGTTTCCATCCAGGTAAACTGGTGTCCCTGCTCACTCCAATCCTTGCTGCATGGAGCTATTGCAGTTAAATCTTCTTTAGTTCAAAGGTGAGCATCATAGCGAGGTGTGTTTGCTTTGTTGATGTGTTGATGGCATTCCTCCTGGTTTTGTCTTCTCTATCTAGTTGTGTGCTTAAATTGCAATGCTTGATTGCCTTCAAAAGCAGTTGCTGTTAGGTGTAGTCCCTGAGTTAAATTCCACAATAAATTATAATAAATAATAAATGAATAGTAAATTATATCCTATTGAGGGATTTATTGGTTAGAAGATGGAGAATTGACCTCCAGAGCCTGCAGTAGCTATTGTGGTTTTTCAGCTCAGGTTTCAGCTCTTTTGTCTTCTCTTCAAGAACCAACAGAGTAAAAATACTTTTGCCAGAGCTGACTCCATGCAGGAACACATGGATGTGGTTGTGTGTCTCTGTTTACATCTCAGAGTATCTGTGTTGGCTGGGGACTATCCGTTATCCGAGGCATCGCCGCCCACCATCGCTCTAGTTAATGAAGAGTTTAATTGGCAGCGTAAAGGTTGCACTTTTGCAATCCAATTTTCAATGTGCTTGGGAACATCTTGGGACCATCATCCAATGAAGCCTGGACCCCCTCCCATTGATTTCTCAATTGAAGTGAGATGTCTGTGGAAGGAGGTTTCCATCTCTACCATCCCTCTTTCCCACCCCCCTGTCTTCACAGCCATAAATTACTGCAGTTAATTCATGGTGTCTAGCTTCTCCCTGTGAACTGGAAAACAACGCTGCGTGACTCCTGGGACAGTGCTCTGGAGCTAGTAGCTGAGGAGTGCCGGGAGATGTTTGGGGTGTCCTGGAAGGCGATCCTAGCACTTCTTCCCGCTAATCCCATTAGCTCGCCCTGGCCGCTGTGACAAGGCGCTGAGGAGCCCGGCTGCGAGGCTGGCCGCTTGCTCTAAGCCATGCACACAATGAAAGGGTGACTTCAAAGAGGCTAAGTGTAATTTGCATTTCCAAGCTCTCACAGCCAAGGTCTTCAGGAGGGGATGAAAGTGTCTTTTGTTAAACTTAATGGCAGAGTTGATTAAAAAAGCTCTGATTTTTCCCTATTAACGGCATAGTCTGATTCCACTGTTAGGCTTTCGGCATCTGGGGGAGGATGAATTCTGCAAAAAAAAAAGCACACAAAGGAGGTAACCTGTTGCCTACCCAGCTGTGATCATACTTGGGGATATTCCAGTATCATTTCTTCTAAGTTGAGAGCCATGTAGTAGCTGTCTTGGGTGGGTACCGGCATGAGTAACAAAGAAATTATTAGCAAATTTTCATCAGGCATCTCCTTTTGCCGGGGCCTCAGCAGAGCCAGCCGAGGTGTCTGTCTTTCCAGAAAATGGGTCCCAAATATCTCCGACTGGATTCTCAAAGCAAGAAAGTAAAAGGGCTGATTCATGCAGTTGGGTGCGTGTTTCAGGGATCACGTATGCAAACCCCTCCTCAAAACATCCATAAAACTATCTGTTGTGTGCCAGCACTTAGCTGTTGATTATCTGTTCAAAATAAGCAGTGACTGGTCTGGTCTTCAGAGGTTTAGTAATTTCCTTTCTTTGCTTTGTTTGAAGAATATTGGCAAATAATTTCACATCTGGATTTATGTATTAAATGTCTCCTATATTGCATAAAACAAAGCACCTAATGAAAGAAATCTGTCTATTTAACTCCTGTCTTAGCTTTGGTTCTGTTTTAGCAATAACTGTTACCACACTCACGGAAGATTGAAGAAACATTTCCTATTTTAAGGGTATCAGTGCTGGGAGTGGTTTGATTTTCTATATACACTTTAAATTCTGTCTCTGCTAGCACGACTCTTCCTGCTATGTTTATCAATATTAAGTACAAGTTTGGTTCAAAACCAGAAAACAGCATGTTAGCTGCTTTAAATAAACATAAATGTTTTTTTCCAGGCAGTTTATGTTTTCTTTTCTAATCAAGGCTGGGTATATTCCTGAATGTAGCCTTCCCCCTCATGCAAAAAGCATTCATTTCATACAACATTAATGCATATTCTGTCTAACCTGAAATGCCACCACCTGTTTTTACCAGGCAGCTGAAGTTTTTTAAAAAAATAAATATTCAAGATCTTGTGGCACATAAGGTTATAATCCTTATATTCACTTTGGGATCGTTTGTGAGATACTGAAAACTACCTGCGGCAGTGTGGGAATCCTTTAAGGTTAAAATCATCCAGGGCACAAAGCCCGTGCCGTGCCCCCTGCGCTACCTAAAGACCATATAATCCCTTATCACAGGCTTTTAATGGCGGGGAGGGCGGCATGTGGGCTCCTGCGCTGGGTGAGCGTCACCCAGAACGAATCGCGGAGTGCAAGACAAACACAGTAAGCCCCTCGCATCGGCCTCTACTAACAGAAGTGCCAGCTCCCTGTAGCGACATTTTGTTGCAAAGTCGCATGTGAAATGTTTCACCCTTTTGTGTTTATGATTGATTTCAGCGACGAGTATGAAGAGGACGGTTTTTGCCAGCCCTACAGGGGGATTGCTTGTGCACGATTTATTGGAAATCGAACCATTTATATGGAGTCTTTGCATATGCAAGGTGAAATAGAAAATCAGATTACAGGTGGGTAAAACATGCACTTGCTTCTTCCCCATGAAGCTGTCTTTTCCCAAAAAGCTGCTAGGGTTTTATAAACTGCAATACTATTTTTATTCGCTCTTTATCCTCTCTTGCTGTGAGCTTCTCACCACAAAGCTCACCTGGGACTCCTGCGTTGTGTGGTGTCAGTGGAGGGAGTCGTCTGAAGAGTGACGATCTGAGCAGCCTCTGTGTCTCTGCTGATCCAACTCTCCCACAGGAAACTAAAAAATGATTTTTCCAAGGAGAAGGGGTTGTGTATTTACAGCTTCTGGGAGTGGCTCAAAGCCAGGCTACCTTGTGCTGCTGTTTCCCAAGCAGATTTGAAAAGTGACGGGACACCAGACTTAGTTGATTATTAGGTGGTTGAGATCATTCAGGAGAGCCGTAGGTGCTGGAATCTACCTCTTCCAGCATAAGATAATATGTGGTGTAAATAATTCAGCAGGTCGTGTTTTCCCTTTAGATTTAGTAAAGAACCGTTTTTCATTGTTTTTGTGGGAGATGCTGTGCTGATGGATGTGCTGAATTCAAGCTGAGGCCTCATAGATACCATGATACTTCTCTGGTTTTTTATATACATTAACCTCGGCCAGATCCTAGCCAGTAATCGTCTTGTCTATATTCAGATTTTCTCTTGCTGTCAGAATATTCCAAATTTCTCTGCCCCATAGAGTGTTTTTCCTTTGTTTTGTAAACGCTATCAGCATTGCAAAAAAGACTTTTGCATTGCTCACAGGAAAGGCCAATGGTTTCTGTACAGCCAACAGTTCATAATCTTATGCCATTTTGTTTGAAAAGTCATTTGGAATATTACAAAAGCTGTCATCTTCCACGAAGGTACTGGTACTGTCATCCTGCAGCCTGCAGGGACTTTGGTTTTTACCTGTTGGGTAAAAGGCACCCAAATAGTATATGACTTTGCAAACCATTATAAATTATTTGGGGGAAAAAAAGTATAATTAGGTTTGGGGTTTTGGTAGCATACTTAACATTAATCCCGTGTTGAAAACCAGATGTATTTTCTCTGTCAGCGAAATCAGCATCGTTAATAACTTTTAATGTAATTAGCGCTCTGTATTTCTGGAAGGCCCGTTCATCATCTGAACATCTGAAAATAATAGTTGCAGTGGGAAGTGAGGGTTATACTGGGAAGGTAAGAGCACAGGAATAAAATTCCCACTGGGTTAAGTAAAATCCTTTTGTATATTTTACAGCTGCCTTCACCATGATTGGCACTTCCAGCCATTTGTCAGATAAATGCTCCCAGTTTGCTATTCCTTCGCTGTGCCATTACGCCTTCCCCTATTGCGACGAGACTTCATCAGCTCCCAAGCCACGAGACTTGTGCCGCGATGAATGTGAAATTCTGGAAAATGTCCTGTGTCAGACAGAGTATATTTTTGCAAGATCTAATCCCATGATTCTGATGAGATTAAAACTGCCCAACTGCGAAGATCTTCCCCAGCCAGATAGCCCTGAAGCTGTCAATTGTATCCGGATTGGGATTCCAATGGCAGATCCCATAAATAAAAGTAAGTGAAAACCGTCTGTGCCTCCGTGCAAAAAATACCGCTGTGAAAAGGTTGGCTGTAAGGGCTTGTGCATCAGAGTTGGAGCTAGCGCTGGGCTTTGAAAGCTCGCAGACGCCACGCTCTCAAATTACCCCGCTCCTGCACTTCTCCCCTAGCTAGTCCGGAGTGGGTAGAAATTCAGAAATACTTTTCCATTTTTTTCTTTAGCTGCCTATGGGCTCACTCTAAATGCTGTTTATTGGTTTCAGGTCTTCTCTAATTAATACGAAGCAGGAAACAATGACAGTGTAAGCATTTGAATACTGAGGAACATCGGTAGCTTCAGCCTCCCTGTCCTCCCACAGCAGTCCGATGTGCTCCAGCAAGACCATGGGGGCACTACAGGGGTGCTCGTCAGGAGGAACATTCGTAGGGGCCAGGTCCGTGGCTGTCCCTGCCTAATTTTAGGCATCGGCTGAGCTCACTCTTTGATCAGGCTGGGCTGCAGCCTGTTCACGACCCTTATACATCTGAATAGTCAAATATAAAACGTGGCTCCTACAAATTCTCCACCTTCATATGAAAATAATGGCTGCAATTCAGGTTCCCACTGTAGTTTTTACTTCTTTTGTGTATCTTATATTAAAAACGCTTGGCATAAGCTGTTTTCATTACAGAAGCATAAGCTTTAAATCCTCCCAGGAATGTGAATGCAAAGCAGGCCCTGCATTACAGCCGCAGCAAATTGGGAGCCCGTGCTCCCAAACTGGGTTTACCAGCCCCGGGCCAGCAGCAGTGCGCTGGGGCTGGGGGATGCTGGCAGCTCGCCGGCCCAGGGTGCTGCGGCCATCTGCCTTGCCGCCACCAACTATAGCTTTGGATTTTTTTTTTTTTTTCCCCCCCCAGATCACAAATGCTACAACAGCACAGGAGTAGATTACCGGGGGACGGTGAGCGTGACCAGGTCGGGGCGGCAGTGCCAGCCGTGGAACTCGCAGTACCCCCACACCCACACCTTCACTGCCATCAGGTACCCCGAGCTCAACGGGGGCCACTCCTACTGCCGCAACCCAGGGAACCAGAAGGATGCCCCGTGGTGCTTCACCTTAGATGAGAACTTTAAGTCTGAGCTTTGTGATGTCCCGGCATGTGGTAATTACTGACCTTTTTTACGTTTCGTTTTGGAACAAAAAGGGGAACCGTTTTGTCACATCCATACAGCCGTCCTGCAAAACAGGAGCTCGGGGGAGCTGTGCCCAAAGTGCCTTTTTCGAATCCCTGAACAGAGAGCTGTAGGAAAGGCTAACTACGGTGTTTGTAGCTAAAGCCACAGCATCCCTGCCCCAAAGAGACCTCGAGCACTTGCTGCCCGTGCAGCTGGCAAAGTGGTGTTATGAAAAAATTTTACTAGGGAATTCCTGAGCACTCCCCAGAAGGTGGTGAAGCAGCAGCGCGTTACCAGCCCAAGCGTCCCAGGCTTTCCAGGTTGCTGTTACAATCAGTACAACTCCTGAGTCCAAATTAAATCGGATCACAGAAGTTGCACTGTTGACGCTGATCCACAAAGTGGTTATAAAACGTTTTCCATTTTGCTTGGTTTATTAAGAGCCATTTTAATAAATGCAAACCTCACTTAGGCTCAGGCCTTGTTTAAAAAATAGAGATGATCTTGCCAGATCCTCTTAGATGTATTTTAAGTTTGTGTTTACAGGACTGCCCTGGCTGCATTTTGGTTTTGCAAAATGAACAAAAATGGAGATTCAGCTCTCATTTTATTCTGCTTTTCTGAGACCTGGGGGAAGTGGATGGAAGACCTGAACAAGTGGTTCCTAATTGTTTTATCTGCATTTAAAACTAACAATATCGATAGCGGGCCAAGAAAAAAATACAGCTATTTGCATGGACATGCCAGAAATGCATCCAGAAATGTTCTGGAAATTCACGGTACAAAGTTTCACACAAAATTTTATGTTGCCTACAAGTTGTCACAGTAACATTACCTTTCCCCTTGGAAAGGAGATACTTTTTGATGTTACTGTTTGATAGCCAGAACCAAATTAAATTATTTCTGGTTATGGTTATGAACATTCCTGCAGTGAGACATGTTCTGAGCCTGCTCCAAAGTCTTTTTCAATTAATGGAAAGATGGGAATCGATGCCAAAATGGGATCTAAATTATGTTCTTACTGAAAGAGTAGGTCAGGAGAAAGGCAGACAGTCTGGGCTATATCATGTGCATCTCAAACCCTCTCTAACATTCATATACGCTTTTTAGAGTCCTGTATCTCTCTTGCTATTATTTCAGTGCATTTAACTTATGTTATTTTTCTTGTTAATTAGGCCCAGTGATAGACTGACTACACAAGAATAGTTCAATCTATATAAACTGTTCCAAAGATCTTTTTCAGCCCTTCAGTACAAAAATCTGGATCTAAGTAGCAGTCAGCAGGACTTCCCTTAGCGTTCTGTCGGCTCTTGGCTCTCCGCCCCGGGAGCTGCACGGCTGCAGGCACAGATGCCCCTGGGCTGCTCCGGGTGAGGAGACGTAGCTCAGCCCCAGGGAGTCTGGGCAGCTTGGTTTGGGCAAGCTCAGGGGTCTCTGCACATCCACCGCCAGCGATGCTGTTGAGCTTTCTGTACTCTGCACTGTCGCTGCATGACCTTTCAGCCAGGTGCATTTTGTGTTTTCCACAACTTCTGGATAATTGGGTAATTAAGAGTTGATGGGGGGGCTGCTTGACAGCCCCCTCTGGATGGGCTCTGAGATCCCAGGACTGGCTCGCTCTTTTGATCTGAAATAGCTGAAAGCAGGATGCTTTTGGACGTGTTGCAAAAGTCTCCGATTTGAACGTTTTACTAGATAATAAATGAGATAGGCTGGCTGGCTTGAAGAATTCCTGACAAGGGTTTTAATTACCTCTCAGAACTGCCTTAAATGGTACTCGCTGTACAGCTGGGTTATATGGCATTATTATTCTAAATACAGACAAATAGAGCTATATCAGGTGAGTAGTAATTTAATTGTTAAATGCTAATCTGCATATTAAAACCAAAATACCATGTGGGACTTGCATTCTGCTGGTTTTACCGTGGCTGAAAGAGCCATTTCAGGCTCTACTTTTAATAAGTATTGTGCATTCTGCCTTACCAGGACATGCCTAGATGGGAAATGGATTTAATTAGGGTGCCTCCCAAGAAACCTATTAACCTAATGAGGCTTCACGGCGGGGGCTTCTACTTAATAAGAATAATAATTCCCTTTGACTGGGAATAGCTCAGGTGATGAACTAGTGCCCAGGTCTCCGTCTGCCTCATGCTGATGCTTTCTTTTTCTTTCTTCAACTGTATCTTTCAGTTGTCTCACAAGCTGCAATAGATTCATTTCTTAAGTTTGTCAACCTGAATATAGGAAGATGCGAAACATGGAGCAATTCAAGCATGAGGCTTAGCAAAGACAAACATAAGAAGGTTTTGAAGGAGAGGGGAAGGCACTGATTGTGTGTCCATGCTAGAGGGCAGCAACTCCTGAAGGAAACCCGCAGTGGGTCCACACTGTAGAGCTGGACATTCACTGAAGACAGGGCGCGAGAGCACACACTGCCCTTTTGCTGGGCACAGGGAGACTGTAACGGGGACGGTGTTTTAGTCCTCTCTTGTTTCCCAAAGGCCATAGAAATATTTGGACTACCTCTCCTCTCACTTAAAAAACAGATGGCACAACTTAATCTAAAAAGAATGGTCAAAAAGGAGCGTGGGGGGAGCAGAAGGACAGCGCGAGCCTGTAAGAGGAGAGGGCTTATGCAAAGTGACTTCCAGAACCATTTGAACTTTGCCTCTGTCACAATTTGAGTCAAACCCAAGCTTCAGATCAAGTTCATGTCTAATTAAGTGCATAAAAGATATCTGTGTGGGCCGCTAAGCACTTCTACAAATCCAGCCTGGAAAACACAGACAAACAAACTGAAATGACCCTGTAGGAATAATAAAACATTCCCCGTTCTGCCAGAATCCACTAAGCCTGATGCTGCCACAGACATTCACCATTCTGACTCCCTCGGAAACAACCAGGCAACGGCCACCAGTCCTGCAGCTCAAGGTGATCCTCAAAGTTCTCAGGGTGCCCTATACTGTGTTAATCCGTGCATAATTATACCCTAAACTTTATGAATGCTCCTGGGAAATACCAGAGCAAAGCAGGCTTCAGCGTCCCCACGCTCAGAGCACTCCGGCTGGAAGGTATGTCCTTGTCAACGCAAGCGGGTGCTGCGTGAATGCGAGGACATGAGCTCCTTCCCGAAGCCTCTCTCTCCTCTCCCACTGCACCTTTCCTCTAAGCAACGCACCCTGTGAAACCAGAGCCAGCTGGTGAGTGTCTGATGTCCCGGCTATGCCGTGCTGGGCAGTGGTAGAAGAGGGTTTCATGTTTCTAAAATTAATCACTCGCTCCCTAGCTGTGTGCAGAGGGAGCAAATATTGCAGCCAGCATTCGCGCTATGTTAAATAACCCGGCTTCCCAACCTCTTCTGGATCCTTCTTTTTTGTCCATGCTCTAGCTTTCCTTTCAACCATCATTGCTGTGTCCTTTGTGCCAGTGTTTGCCACCCTGCTCAGATGACACACTGTTAGTATACAGGTGGTAGAGGAGTGGGTTTTCCCATTAGCCTGTTAATCCTATTAAGACCAAGTCTTCAGTACGTACGATCTTTTTTGAGATTATGCTACAGCTTTTGTCTGTGTTCAGACTTTTTGTACCCCTTTCCTGACTTCCTGGGATAAAAAACAGGACTGTTCTCTCTATTTCTTGCCATTTCCATGCATGTCCTCCCATTTGCCAGCTGTTCTCCATTTCTTCTGCTCTAGATTCCCTAATTGTCCTGCTCCTGCACCTAAAACTAACTAGAAAATAAGTTTTCAGTTGCACATATTGTTTGTTCCAGTGCTTTGGCCAATGCTAGGAGACGTTGAGAACAGGAGGCTGGAAATAAACAGGGGGATAATATCCTTTTTAACGGCTCCCCACATTTTTGTTGGATTAACGAAACTATGGCACCAGAACCTAATATACATATTAAAATAAGGAGTCCATAGTCCCACCAGAGCCTTTCTTCCATAAGCTATTTTAGAAATTAAATTTTCTGTGGACCTGTATTAGACCATTACTTCATTTCACCCCAAGCAATAGCCACCTCACAGTATTCAGCTATTTCATTACCATAAGTAGGTTTGAACTGATGTGCTGAAGGGAAATTGTTCCTGGCCATTCTGTGTTCTTACAGAAATGTTACTCAACAAAATTAATTGCTCTGTTAATATTAAGGAAATAAAACAGGATTAAAGGTGGATTGCAGTAGTATTACCTGGATGTTTTATTCTTCTTAACACTTCTAGTTGACCGAGGGATGTATTTGACTCTGTGGGATACTTCATTCATTGTTCTGGGTTTTTTTCTGAACCAGATTATAAGGATTCCAAGGAGAAGAATAAAATGGAAATCCTGTATATCCTGGTGCCAAGTGTTACTATTCCCCTGGCCATAGCCTTACTCTTCTTCTTCATCTGCATCTGTCGCAACAATCAGAAGTCATCCTCCCCTCCCGTTCAAAGACAGCCTAAACACGTAAGAGGACAAAATGTGGAGATGTCAATGCTCAATGCCTATAAACCAAAGGTAATCCCTCATTTCTGCTTTGACATTTGCTGTCTGTAAAGGCAAGGAGTGAAATGCTTTGATCAACTCAGCGCTGAAATATTAAGTTGATTTCCAACCTGCAGTTTCTGCTGGTGCCTTTAGCTGTAATTTTTTAAAGACTTTTCTCATCAGCAGCATAGCAAGTGTGCTGGACCTGTGGAGGTAATTCCTATATGTCCATGTATCTGGATAAATAGGAGCTGGAGTTTTTCTGTAATAAAGAAAGCATCTCTAAATTGCCTCATTGAAGTTAGAAAGTAGCGCAGATAAACATGTGATTCAGCATTTTCCCAAGACAGTTTTTTCATGGGTCTGCTGTAGTCATACATCATCTTTCACTTCGCTGAAATCACTTTGGAAAGATTTGTTCCTTGCTTTTTCAGGCTTACCCGTTCTCTCAGTTAAAAAGAGAAATTACCAAAACAGAGCCTGCACAGAAATCTGCCTGCAGTTCTGGCCAGCACAGCTGATGCATAGCGGATCTTGTTGCTGATATTGTTTGGCTTTACTGTAGTCCCAAGTTCATGAAGCATTTTTTAAAATCATTTAAGATTTAAGCGTGATTAACCTTGAGCTCTTTGTTTATTGGCAGGGCAGCCAATTTGCAAACCTGTATGTATCACCCGTTTCAGGGCTGTAACTGCCTTCTGCCACCTACAGGCAGAATAACGCCCTGGAAAGAGTATTTGCCTTGTTTTTCACACCATGCCAATTCTCTTCAACAACTTGATGGAGATTGTTCTTTTGAAGCATTTCAGAGTGAAAATCAATATCTACAAGTAATTAGAATAGAAACTGTGTAGACTGTAGTATCTGAAACAGTCAGACATGCCTTTGAGTAAGCTGTTATTTTTGTTAGAAAATGACATAACAAAATGAATCCAAATTCTGATTTTATTGAGTTTCAGCAATGTAAAGTCTAATCTTCAAATATTGCTGCTGTAGGTATTCTTTCAGCAGAGCTAATCACTCAGCATCAGGAAAGATTACCCTTGTATTTCAGGAGCTGTGTTCTCTGTCTCTGAATAAATTCTGGAGTAGTTTTCTTCTTAAGTTCTATAAAGCAGCTATGGGATGCCGCTATTGCTTGCTCTTAAATGTCAAATTTATAGAGTTAGGTTATAAAGAGTTAATTGCGGCAGCCTAGGGAAAATGACTTAAGTAGCTGTATCCCAAGAGATACAGGGAGTGCACTACAAGGGGCAGGGATGGATGGAGCTGTGCCACCCAGGCAGTAGTTGCTCTTTCGGGGGTGCTGCCCTGTGTGTCTGTGGAGCCGCAGTCTCAGTGCGGCAGGGTCAGACATAGAAAGTTGTTGCAGAGGAAAACTGCAGCTCACCACCAGCTCACAGAAAGAGTAGGAGACTCCTTTTAAGTCAGCGATAAAAGTAAACCCGCTGTGCGGCTGTGCTGGAAAAGGGAGTGCTGCTTTTGCCCATTAGTAATACAAACTGCATACAGAGACATTTTTACACGGCGTAATGCTAATGCTAGGATTTCTGTTTTAAATAGTGTTGCAGGCACTGGGTGCTGATGCCGGGATGCCAGCAGGACTGTTGCGTGGGGTGTCTGTTCAGGGTGGTCAGACAGAGTTTGGTCTATTATTATATTTTAACTCCTCAGTCCCACACATACTGTCCCAGTGAATTTATCTTGATTTTCCTTTAAAGTTCTTAATTTCAGCTTTCATGTACAGCTTAGAGTAGGTGAAAATGTTATTCGTTAATACATACTTAATATCAAAATGTAGGTAATAACACAAAAAACCATGTAATTAGGTAAGCATCAAAACTATATCTTGCATCCAACCTCCGTGGGATGTTTTGATAAATTTGGATTTGCTTCTTGGTCCCCATTCTACTAGATATTTGGGGTACAAGCCTGACTAAACTGAAGATAATTGGAATGTCAGCATCATTTTAATGAGGTCACAATTTCCACCTAGGCTGCTGACGCACTGATGCCTTATGCACACAACATAAGAGAGGAACTTCCCCAGAAATGTTTGCAAATATAGACCGCACTGTTTTCTTTTTATGTTCGAAGTCGTATGCTGCAAAAAGCTTTCCGTCTTATTTATGCTAATTCTGTATTTTCCCACTGGGAAACCCAGCTCTCCCTGTCTCAAATGTTTTGATTGCCTTTCAAACAAAATTTTAAAAGAAAGGAAGTAGAATCCTATTTTTAAATACTGTATCCAGTATTAATGTCAACTTTGGGTAAAACCAATTTTAGACCTCAAGCTCCAACTGAGGTAGATGTGTGTTCGCTCATACAAATAAAAACGTTAGCATTTCATCCAAAAGCCTGTTGCAGTTTTAAGGGATTTTAATTGCCTTCAGAAAATATAATAAACTAAGCTCGTCTTGTCATTCACCTAATGGAAGGAGCCGATAAAGAGATAGAGGCGGTGGGCTTCACTCTTACTGCTCTCCCTTTGTACTCGGTTTACTTTGGCATGCTGCCTCATATGTATTTTACACTTCTTTACATTTTGTACACCGATGTATGACAAATACTTGTCAAACAAAAACTAAGCAGATTTATAACCGCTTAACTTGAAATGAGCCCTTCCTGCCAAAACTTTATGACTTCATTTTCTTTCATAGTTTTCCACTATGTTGGTTCAAACAGACGAACCCAGCCTCAGGTCAGACAGAGGTCATTTCACTTTCATTACTAAAATATAATTTACAATATGCCAGACCTAAACAAGTTTTAGCCTAAAGGATTTGTATAATATAAACCATCTGTTCCTCAACAATATAGCTAATTTCCTGCCATCACCATACAGTCTACTGGCTGGCTGCTTAAATGGCTTTATTATTATTA